GGCTTCTAGTTTCTACTTCCTATTCCACCATTGCTTAGGATCAGAAAATGAAAATACAAGAGCTTTTTAAAGACAAGCCGCTGCCCAAGGGAATCTGGAAACGGCAACCCCCCCCCAAAACCCCCCAACTTTTAAACCTCTCCTTAAGTTTCAACTGTGACACTAATGTTTTGGCGATCTTGAAAGTGTCAGAAAACAAGCAGACAGGAAATCCATGATTTGATTCAATATACTAATTTCCAAAAAACATTGATTAAAAGCCCACTGCCAAAGGGTTTTGAGTTAATCCAGCATTTAAAGCATAAATGGGAGGATTTTTGTATGGAGACCGTGCCAGTTCTCATAATGAATTTTAAACTCACATCTTGTGTTCACTATATTTTAAGCTTTGTTCTGTGTATTTTAATATATGTATTTGTAGGAATATGTTTTATGATATGTATTTTATATAATGTTTATGATTTTTATGTGTTTTAGCTATGTTGTGACCCACCTTGAGTCACAAGGAGAGGAGTGTAAGAAATAAAAATTATTATTATACTGACACAAAAACACAGTATGTCACAGCAAATGAGATATATATGCTGGATTTTGTATCACAAAATCACAAGTCCAACATGTCCCAAGTGCCTAGGACTGTGTAATATATTTTCGAATGATGCGTGCAGACCCAAGTAAGGTGGCCTTTTGCAGTTGACAGATCGTAAACATTGACAAAATCATGATGATGATGATGATGATGATGATGATTATTATTATTATTATTAAAAAATACATGAAATCCTATCAGATTTTGGAATCTAACTAAGTTAAATCCTGGTTAATACTGAAATGGGAGCTGTGTTGGTGCAATGGCTGTACTGCTGACCTAATGGTCAGCAGTTCGAATCCACAAGAGGGAGTGAGCTCCTGTCTGTCAGCCCCAACTCCCCATATATGGACATGAGAGAAGCCTCCCACAGAATGGTAACACATCCAGACATCCCCTGGGCAACGTCCTTGCAGACTGCCAATCTTCTCACACCAGTCCAATTCACTTCTAACATGATAAAAAGAAAGTACTGAAATGGGAGTGTGCCAATGAATACCAGAAATTGTAGGCTACATTCCAGAGGAATATACTGCCTCTGAATATTCCCTGGTTAAGAAAACTCAAAGAGATCCATGAGGTTGCCATAAGCTGACAGACAACTTGAAAGCACATGAACACATAGCCAATTAAAGAACAGAGGAAATGTGAAGAAGTCGAGGGATCATACTACCACATGTGGTGGCGCTGTAGTAAAGCCAAAACATACTGGAAAAACATACAGCAAAAATTACAGAAAATACTGAAAATAACCATACCACTGAAACCAGAGATTTTTTTGCTGGGACTCTCAGATGAGAAAATGGAATTAAACAAAGATAAGGACAAACTTCTTTCCCTAGCAACGACAGCGGCTAGAATTTGCTTAGCCAAAAAATGGAGGAAGAAGGAGATACCGGATATAGAAGAATGGGAAACCAAACTGGTGGACATAAGAAATATGGACAGACTAAGCTTTTTAATACAGAAAAGTAAAGGTTTTACAGAAAAAGAAACGGACTGGACTCCAATAAATGATTATTTTGGATGGAATGGATAGATAGAAAAAGAGAGATACTTGCCAAAAATAATTATAGTGATAAACAGAAACTGAAGTTTGACATACAAGAAAGAAAAGGAAACTTCTTCAACAACACCAGGAAGTCGGACCGAACGAAGGGGACACCCCAAATCTCCACACCTGCGCTTTTAAATCTTTACACTTTCATACTCCAGTCCTACCCCAATGTTTGTTTTCCCCTCCCTTGCAACCCCTCAACCTGCATCCCATATTCCCTTCCCCCCTCCCACCGACCCACCCTATCCGTCCTAAATCCTCCCTCTTTACTTCCTTACTCTTTTCTTTCTTTTTCCTCTATTTGTTCTATCTGTTTTTAATATGTAATAAGAAAATCTTAATAAAGATATATTTAAAAAAAAGAACAGAGGAAGGGAATCAAACGAAATGTATTTTCGCAGTGAAAGTAAGCAATACGTTTCTTCTGTGAAGGATCTGAATGGGAAGTGATGCTGTTTAAGTTATTCAGAAATGGTCTAGAATCAGAGAGTAGTGTTGCTAAGATTGCAGAAGATGGTAAATTATTTAGGATCATAAAAGTGCAAGCAAGTGTGAAGAAATCCAAAACAATTTCTCCAAACCGAGTGACTCAGCAACAAAGACATTTCCATATAAATAAGTATAAAATAAGCACATTTTGAAGAAAATATTTTAGCCATATGTGCTCACACACATTGTTTTTCTGGACTGAGAGTGGTGAACCAGGAAAAAAAATGAGGTTATAATTGGTAGATAGGCAAATTATGCATCAACAGAAAACAGAAAGAATTCCATGCCTGGGATTATCAAGAAATGTGTTAGAAACAGATTACATCTGTATATAATCCCAAACAGAGAAAGAGTTAAGTAGCAATTAGAGATATTGATAACAGAAAGATATAGTGTGGCTATAGCATTGGCATGTTGACCGAGGTATTCTGGGACCTGCAGGGCTCCTTTAGATTGGATTTTTTTTTAAACCGTGACATTCCTGGACAATTTTCTGGAAAGTTCTCCTACCAGCTATAACACTTTATTCCCGCTCTCAAGTGGGATTCTTTTTAATACAGAACAATAGGGCATTTTCATTCCCCTCTCACTCTTTCAGCGTTACAGTGCATCAATGAAATTGCAGTCTTGCACTACAGTATTATAGCTCTGTAGATTGCATCATTCTTGACCACTGGCCATGCTCCTTGGAGCTAATAAGAGTTGTCATCCCAAACATCTGGAAGGATCTATGTTGGGGAAAACGGTTCTTTGATGGTTATGTTAACTGTATTGAATGCGCTTTTTCATCTATAACACACAATATAATGCTGGCATTAATTTATGTTACTTTTCAATCAAAGTAAGACAATTTCATCCAAGATGATGTGATTTTAGCAAAAGAAAAACCCAGCAAATCTTTCTCTAATTGCTTTTCATTGTTTATTCTGCTGAATGCACTAGACCAATTGTACCGAATGCTTGACAACTTGATAAATGGCCCAATACTCATTCCTGTAATAACATAAGGTATTATATAAGTTTCTTTAAGGGAAAAATACAGATGAAGCTTTGACAAGTACAGTTTGAATGGCACTATGCAATCTCAAAGACCCAACTTTCCTTGGAGCTAATGAAGAAAGTTGTGTGGAAACTTCTTACCAATATATGAACCATTTCCTTTAAGACACTGGTTCTCAACCTTTCTAATGACGTGACTCCTAAATAAAGTTCCTCATGTTGTGGTGACCCTCAACCATATTTTTATTGCTACTTCATAACAGTAATTTTGCTACTGTTATGAATTGTAATGTAAATATCTGATATGCAGGATGAATGTGCCTTGTACTGTCGCCCTTATGTTGACACTTCTGTATCATACAGAAATGCAGTTTTGTAATACACAGTTACACACACTGTAATGAAAGATACAAGAACACAGAATCACACATACAGCACAAAATGGAAACATTTTTGTGCAGAAAGAGTGTAGGATGGCATAGCTCTCCTTCCCCTTCGGTTCTAACCCTGCTATCACATTTTATTTAGTTCGCTGGGCAAAAGAGTCCAAAAAGCAATTCTTCCACTTGTTAGCCATTTCATTGGGAAGAAATTCCACTGATTCCCTTAATAGGATGATCTTGTCGTCCCCGTCCCCCCTTGGGTACTGAAATTTAGCCTACTGTGGCAAGGCATGTTCATCCATCCATTTTCTGAAGCATGTAGGGCTTGTGTAAAGGAAGACTGGATTTGAATGTGCAAAACTGGTTACCTTTCTGGTTTCCATGGCAGAGTGCAATAGAAAGGGAGAAAGAAGCTCAATTTTACATAGCTAATTTTTCCCTGGATATTTCCTTTATGGAAGTTATTAACCAAATACCAATATTCATACTATTTAGGATACAGAATCAGCTGCTGGAAACCAATTGTCATGATTTTCACTACCTTGAAATCTAGTTATTCATCATGTCTTTATAAATCTTCATTATCCTTCCAACATGGTATCCCTTTTTCCTTAGAGATTGTCCCTGTGCTTTTTGTGACTGGCAGGATAGGCTATGGGCATCTCAGTTGACTTGATTAGGGTTACTTTTAGATTCTGCCAGATTCTCTTTTTGTTGTGTGCATTCAATTTGTTTCAAATTGTGGCAAACCTAAGGTGACCCAATCCCAAGGCTTTCTGGGGCTGAGAGTGTGTGACTTGCCCAAGGTTGGTCAGTGAGCTTCCATGGCTGGGCAGGGAACTGAATCCTGGTCTCTGAAGTTGTAGCCCCCATACCAGTTGTGAATTACATAAGACCTAGGATCAAGGAATGGTTCACAAACTTTGATTAAGTGCATTGGTCCCTAAGGGCTTGGCAGAACAGCTTAGTCTAATAATAACAAGGTTGAAAGTCATTAGCATTCCATATTAAAAGAATATCTTGGCACTGATGTATAGGTAACATAGGCAATTTGTACTATACTTATCAGAAGTCACCAGCATTTTTGAAGCCTATTCTTCACTTTCCTTTTTTGGTGCTGTACCACATTTCCCTCTGATTTTTTTTAAAGAAGCAAACATAGTTATAATTAACTCCCTCCACATCCCTGCCTGTTAGCCTAATAAGCAAGAAACCCCACAAATGGTTTGGGTGTGAGGATGGAAAACAATTGCTTTAAAAAGAGAGGACACAAGTTAAGACTGTGAAAGCCTTATTGAGATAAACAGCCATTGGCTGAATTCCCATTCACTTCAACAGGAATTTAAGAACAGCCCAGTGGATTGTGACCTCAAATGCTTCTAGGCATCTGGAAATCCTTATTCGCAAATGTTCCCTCAGCCACCTGCCAATATCAATTAGACTGCTATGTTGATGTTGAGAGGCACCTCAAAAAGTCACTCACCTCGTAGACGTTAAATTGACTTTGCCCTCGTGCCAGTTCCCGATAGCTGGTTGTAAACTCTCCAATGAAATCATGGCTGTTAGAGGGAAAGAAGTCATGTGAGAAATACTGCAGAATGTTGTACCTCAAAATAATGTTGTAATGATGAACAAGTTTTCTGAAGCTGTCACGAAAGAAGTTGACACTGTTTCCACAACCAGCGTTTCACAGTTCTCTCGTCCTGGGTACCCATTGTGCACAGATCTTCCAAAAGCCAAGCAAAGCAATAAGGTGACCCACACGTTCTTGTGAAATGCTGATTATGCTTGAAATTTCTCTCTGAGTGATACGACAATCGTCCTGAATCAATCTGTCAACCTTTTGCTTGTGAAACCCAGTGGTTGCTGTCAAAGGACGTCCAACTCTTTGTTTGTCACACAAATCAGATGTTCCCACCTCAACATCGTTAAACTTACTCGCCCAACAATGCACAGTACTCACATCAACACAATCACCACAGCTTGCATTCTCTGATGAATCTCCTTTGGGGTGACACCTTCTGCTGTCAAGAATTCAATGACTGCACATTGCTTAAGTCGCATTGACCGACCATCTGTGCAGGGTTCCACACTTTGCACTTTAACAACACAACCATTCAATGCTAAGGCTTCCCACCAAATTGAACTGTAGAGGAGAGTCTACTGATCAAGCCAGTACCTGCCGCATACCAATACTGCCATCTGTTGATTTTCATTCAACCCTTGTATACTATTATTGTTGAGGGTGTTTGCATTTATGTGCTACCTTTCTTCCAACAGTGAAAACCAAGGTGGCTTGTAACTTGATTACAAATGGATGATGCTAGAATACTTTGGTTACTATTTGCTATTTGCTTGGCAATGCATGCTGATTACACAACTGTCTATGGATTTTTGGGAATCTTGTAGAAGGAAGCATCAGATATCATCTTGCTGAACAGCAGTCAAGGGATTCTGGTCCTTCTCCCCAGCTGCTGATTTTTGGGGGGGAGAATACTGGGACATTTAGGCTGCCTTTGCATACCTGCATATTTATTTATTTATTATTTATTATTTATTTATTTATTTCGAGGTTTTATATACCGACCCTCTCACCTTCAAAGAGGGATTCGGACCGGTTCACAACATGTGTTAACATACAAAAAATATACAATAACAACACAATGCCACTTCATTACACGATTAAAATATCAGCACCATACACATTAAAACATTATCATCCCAGTTAAAAGAGCCAAATCGTCCGACACCATCCCAATCCCATTCATCATCCTCCTTTCATGTGGGCAAAGAATTAAATCAGTTGTCAAATGCCGCGTTCCACAACCAGGTCTTTGTTAGTTTCCTGAACGTCATGAGGGAGGGGGCAGTTCTGATCTCTAATGGCAGGGAGTTCCAAAGTCGAGGGGCCACCATCGAGAAGGCCCTGTCCCTCGTCCCCACCAGCCGTGCTTGTGCAGGCGGAGGGACCGAGAGCAGGGCCCCTCCAGACGATCTTAGTGGTCTTGATGGTTCGTAGGGGAGAATACGTTCGGAGAGGTAAACAGGGCCGGAGTCGTTTAGGGCTTTATAGGTTAACACCAGCACTTTGAATTGTGCTCGGAAGCTAATCGGCAGCCAGTGGAGTTCGAGTAACAGCGGAGTGGTGTGCTCCCTGTACCCCGCACCCGTTAGTAATCTGGCTGCCGCGCGTTGTACTTGCTGCAGCTTCCGGGCAGTCTTCAGAGGCAACCCCACGTAGAGAGCGTTGCAGTAATCTAAGCGGGATGTAACCAAAGCGTGTACTACCGTGGCCAAGTCAGCCCTCCCAAGGTACGGACGCAGCTGGCGCACAAGTTTTAATTGTGCGAAATGCTCCCCTGACCACCGCTGAAACCTGGGGTTCCAGGCTCAGCGATGAATCCAGGAGAACTCCCAGACTGCGTACCTGTGCTTTTAGGGGGAGTGTGACCCCGTCCAGCACAGGCTGTAACCCCGTACCCTGTTCGGTCTTACGACTGACCAGGAGTACCTCTGTCTTGTCTGGATTTAGTTTCAATCTGTTCTCCCTCATCCAGTCCGTGACAGCGGCCAAGCACCGGTTCATGACCTGAACAGCCTCCTTAGTGGCAGGTGGAAAAGAGTGATAGAGTTGGACATCATCTGCGTACAGATGACATCGCACCCCAAAACTCCGGATGATCTCTCCCAACGGCTTCATGTATATGTTAAACAACATGAGCATCCATAGGCATATCACAAAACCAATGCTTTATTTTAAAAAAGCAGTGTGTTTTATAAAAAAATATTCTGTGCAATTTTCATATTTTTTGAAAATTTTACATTTTGTGCAACAAAAAATTGTTACGTGAGATTCTGAAATCCTAAAATGCAAAGTGCTGCAAATCTGACTTTTTAATGAGGTGTCTTAGAGACACCCTTTCTCGCAACAACATGAAAGTTCATAAAAACGTCTATATCTCTATATAGCACCCCTGCAACTACTAAAGCACTTCTCCCACAGTCCGTTAACAGTTAAAAGCCTGCTTGGATAACAAGATTGGGGGGTGTTGCAAGCAGAGAGACATTTGAGAAGTAGCTCTGATCCCAGCAAACTAACAGTATCACAGTGTCTCTTGCGTTTCATTATTTGTGTATCTGTGCTGTGGTATGACTGGGAAGGAAAGCAGAGTGAGATTTCACCTGTCATCACAATGTAGACAACTGCCTATTTATTAGGTGCATTGACTAATGGCGCTGAAATGTCAGATTTTCCATAGGGTTTTGTTCTTGTTGCTCCTCTATTTTCTTGAGTTATTAAATGCTGTTCAGGCGCTCCTCAACCCAACATATTTTTGTCACATCCCTCTCCATCCTAGGTTTCTTTCAGTCCAAATCTATCCAGTCAGAGAGTCTGAATGCCACTTACCTGCCATCTCGGTCCCAGTCATACACCTCCACCTTTATGGTTCTGGAAAATATGAGATTAATGGTTATTCTCAAAACAAGTTACCATACCCATTGTTACCTCTTTCATTCCAATCTCTCGCTCTGCAGAGACCATTGGCAAGACATATGTCAAGCTGTGCATTAGAGATAAAATTCACAATTCACAGAAAACCTGAGCAAATGAACACCAATGGGATGTGAATAACATTAAAACTTCACTGGTTTCTCTGTGTAATGGGAGCAGTAAATTTCCTGTTTGGACCTGAAATGGCATTCCCAGCCAGTTGGGGAGATTAAACTTCTATGTGTTAGCATAGTTAAATGAGCATTCAGGTACGTAGGTCTTTTCAAAATGTCAGGAAAATAATGTTGCCAGTGAAATAATTTCATACTTCCCAGAATGTATCCTGACTAAATCAGAAACCAGAGAGTGATATTTTGAATAGATGCTGAAAACACAGCTTGCAGAAATAGCAAAAACTTACTTTTCTGTCTATAATTCTCATTCAGTTGGTCCACAATGCATGAGTTAGAATGCTCATGAGAACATAGTGAATAAAGCATAATTCTGGTTATTTCTGGACAAGTTACCAATATAGTTGACCCTCTGTATCCACAGATTCTGCATTCACAGATTCTACCATCCATGGCTTTAATTTTTTTTTGCAATGCTTGATTTTGCCATTTTAAATAAGAGACACTCTTTTACTATTCCATTGTATATACTGTACTTCATCGCAAAATAGTCACCACCACATAAAAGTCTCACTCCCCTTTTGGGGGGGGGGGGGGATGCCAAAATTGTATTTTTGTTTTCCTCGCATAATAGTCACATCCACAGTTGACAGGCATTACTAGGGAACAAGCCTTGAAGGGAGTGGCAGGCAGGCAGATATATGGATGAGCTTTCACCTACCCACATGTCTGAGCCTTCATCCACCTGTGTGCCTACAGGCCAGAGGTGTCGTCAATTCTTCACCTGCCCGCATGCCAGCCAGTGAGAACTCAAGGGCTTTCCTAAGCTGTCAGCAGCTGAAGGAGGTCTCATAGCTTTCCCATGGGTGGTTTTGGAGCTACAGGGTTTCCTTTGGCTGGTAGCTGAAGGAATCCCTAGAGCTGCCAAACAATTTCCCTGCATAATGTGTGTGTGCGTGTGCGGTGGTGGTGGTGGTGGGTGACTATTATGCAGTGAAATATGGATAATGAGCATCCATGGATTTTGATATCTACAAGGAATCCTTGAACCAAACCCCAGCAGTTCCCAAGAGCCCACTGCATACAACATATTATGTGTTAATAAGATTAGTGGCAACTGCTGACCTGGGAGGAGGAAATGGTGGGAAGGGGCATGCTTTCTACACAGTGTAACACAATTACAGTGTAACACTAGTGTTACAGTTAGGTAGATCTGTAATTGGTTGACAGATTGAATCCATAGCATGCTCACAATGGTTGCTCTTCATCTTGGAGAAAAGTGACAAGTTGGGTGCCTTATATAACATCTTCATAAACATCTTAGGTGATGGAATAGAAAGTGTGCTTATAAAATGTGTCAGTGACACAAAATGGGGAAGGTAGTCCCGGGGAACAGAACCAGATTTCACAATATCCTTGACTGATTGAATTACTGAGTCAAAATTTAAAAATTGATTTCAACTGGGATAAATTTAAAGCACCGCATCTCAGTAGGAAAAATGTAATTCTCAAATATGAGATTAGTGGTATTGAAAGTAGTACACGAAGAAAGGATCTAGATGCCATATTAGAGCACAAACTAAGCACAACTCAACAAAAGAGCAAATGTAATTTGGGGTTCTATCAATAGGAATATATTGGCCAGAAAGAGCAAAGAGGCAGTGCCACTCTATTCAGACCTCACCTGGAATAATGCATTTAGTTTCTGGGCACCACAGTTCTGGAAGGACACCAACCAGCTGGAACATGTCCAAAAATAGCAACCATGATGATCAAAAACCTGGAAATCAGATCTTATGAAGAATAATTGAAGGGGCTGGATATTTTTAAGAACCCCATTACATGGGTAATTAAAGCATCCTAGGACGCTTCTGCCCCAGTTTGCCCATGGAGCCCTACACTGCCCATCAAATGACATATGGTGACTTCTATTGTTAAATATATGGATGTCACACAGAAACTTGTTTTCAACAGATTTAAATTACAAGAAAAAAATTCACTTAAATTATAGGATGACTTTTTATGCTTAGAGCTGTTTGAGAGCTTTGGAGGTTGGTAGACCCTCCAATGTTGGGAATCTGTAAACAGAAGTTAGATGGGCATCTTTCAGAGGTTGTGTACTTATGTGTAGCAGAGCATTGAACGAAATGGCCCTTGTGGTCCCATCCAACTCTATGGAAGATATAGAGAAATCAGTTGCTTGGAGCTGGCAGATTTTGTCTACTTTCCTATCATAGTTCACCATGAAGTTTTTGACCATAAATGTTTCACTCATAACTCCAACAACAATTATACATTTGTTTTGCTTCTGTCCCTAAACTGTAAATAAATACAAAGGCTGCCAGATGAGCTCTCTCTGTCTTTTCGTAATTATTACCAGCAGGGCCTGAACAATTTAAGCATTGATTAATAGGTAGCAGACCGTGACAACATTTGTAAACCTTTTGTTAGTATCAGTGGAGTGAAGCTACTCAAAAAAATATCTCTTGCTCTCTGTGATGCCAAGAAAGGCATGCAGCTGCTGGGCATAATCATTCCAAATTCACCCATCCGCCCCCAACAAGTTTCCAGCCACTAGGTTAGTGTCAAAAAATGCTTCCAGCTAACTGGCCTTTTAAATTCCTATTAGAAGAGTGACAATGATAAACTGCCCTGGTTTTTGGTATGTTGACAGGTGACAAGTTGAATTCTAGGGGCACTGAAGTGAGGGGAGATCTCGAATCGCACTTTCAGCCTTGGCTGGACCTCATTTGCAGAGATGCCACCACATCCCCAGTGACCTTTGGAATTGTTTTCTAAATATTTTCAGACTGGTTGGCCTCTTCAAGCCAACCAGTCTTCAAGCAAACTGCTGAACTGGCTGGCGAATGACAGAAGAGGAACATATTGTAAAAGATGGAGTAGAGTTGAGTAAAGGTAACTCTGAATAAACTGTATGGTGAGAAATTCCTGAAGGGATAATAAGGATAAGAATAGTCAGGCCACCACAATTAAAAGTACTTTTTTAAGATGTAGGGATGTGAAGTCTTAACAATGAATAGGAAGTATTCAATAGATTTAATAAAAGCAGCAGCTGATAGATATGTGCTTTTTTGGTGAGTTAGGAACTGAGCTCACACAAAAGCTATCTGAAAACCAATGGGCTGTTACACCCATAACAAAAAATACAAACAAACATAAATTATGTGCCCAGCTGGCAGAGGAAGGTCTGCTGATGTATGGTCTGTGAATGGCTCAGCTCTGTGTGGATGTTGGCACAGAAGGACCACCTTCTCTTATAATACTAAGAAATGGGGTTCAAAACCATGTGCGGCCTTGGTCCCTGGTGTTTCTCTGTTGATTAATATTTTTAACATAATGTGCTCAAAATGCTAGTGACATCTAGATTTCTTCCCCTTTTGCAACTCCCCTAAGGAGTTTGAGGTAAGGTGACTTTCAAAAGAGAAATTCCACATTGATCTGGTCGGTGAACAACAACTCAGAAACTGCTCTAAATGACTTCTAGTCATAATGGCTAAGGACTATCTCCAGGATCAAAAGCAGCATGCTTCTGCCCTACTTATTTTAGGGGAAGGAAGGGCAGGTGGGGGCTGTTGCACTCATGTTCTGCTTCTATGTATCTAGTTTGCCATAGGGGTGGATGTGGTTCCAGTGAATTTTTATATTGTGTGTGTGAGAGAGAGAGAGGGGGGAGGGGGGGGGAGAGAAGACTGCTTAGACAGTGTGCTGCTGTATGTGTGTGTGTTGACTTGTGGGAAACTCATTAATTTCATAGGGCTTTTGTAGGCAAGTAACACTCAAGGTGGCTTTGCCAGTTGCTTCCTCTGAAATATAGCCAATCACAACTGTTATTCATTGTCAGTCTTTCATCCAAGTGCTAGCCAGGGTTGACCCTGCTTAGCTTCCAAGGTCAGACAGGATTTGGTGCCTGCATGCAAACAGCACGAGTGTGTGTATTAGGGCTGGGCGGTTTCGTTTCGTAATTTTGTAATTCGTTAAAAATTCGTTATTTTTTTTTATAACGAAGCGATTTTGAACCATTCAGGAGCATCTAAAAAACGAAACGAATTTTTCAATTCGTTTCGTAATTGCTTTTCGTTTCGTATTCGTTTCGAAATCGTTTTGAAATCGTTTCGTTATTATTTCCGCATGTCTGGGGCAAGTTTTATAGCTGTTGTTTGTTTAATCAGTGAAAAAAAATTATAAATATCACACCAACAGTCAACAACAGAGGGAGAGGGAAGCTTCAGAAGTTCCCCCTGTCCCATATGGAGGTTTTTTAGCGTATTGCGCGGTCGCGTCCGCCATTAACGAATTGATTCGTATTCGTTTCGAAATCGTTTCGTAATTGTTTCGTAATTTACGAAATTTCGTAAATATCGAACTTTTTTAAAGAAAAATTCGGAATTCTTTTAAATATCGAAACGCAAAAAACCCCAAAAAACGAATCGAGTTTAGAAACAAATTTTTCCGTGGTTGCCCAGCCCTAGTGTGTATGCATGCTTTCCCTTTGTGGTTCTATGCTATCAAGCACCACTCCTCCTCCTCCTCCTCCTCCTCCACCACCTCCACCTCCACCTCCACCTCCACCTCCACCTCCACCTCCACCCACCTCCTCCTCCCCTCCTCCTCCTCCTCCTATTAAACAGTCTACTAGGTGTTACTGACTGAAGTTCTGGACCATCAATGATTCAGATTCTATCTCAGAATCGGGTTTCTTTTGTCAGATAATACAGCACATTCCACATTTTGCAGCTGTGCTGTTCTGATCCTCCATAACAATTTCATTCAAACATTTGGTTCAACAGTACCTGCCCTCAGTTCTTT